GCTCAAGCCGATTCTTGCAACCCTGGTGTCAATCCATCTCCTTGAGGGCCTTCCTCTTTTTCACTGCCCCTTTATTCAAACAAACATGATGTCCTTCTCCAGGGACTGGTCTTTCCAGACAACTTGTCCAAAGAATGTAAGATAAAGTCTTACCTCTAAGGAGCACTCTCATCATATTTCTCCCAAGACAGATTGGGGTTTTTTCCCTTTTCGTAGTCCGTGGTGCTTGCAACATTCTCCAGTACCACAATTCAAATACATTGATTCTTCAGTGCTCTTTATTATCCAGGGTCCAACTTCCCCATGCATGTGAGACGGTTGAAAATACCATAGGTCCGAGAGCTGGATCTTAGTCTTCAAAGTAACATCCTTGCTTTTCAACACTTTAAATTAGAGGTCTTGAGTAGCAGATTTACACTGTGCATTGCATCGTTTGATATCTTTTATTAAGACAACATTTCATTTATTTGTAATTAGAAATAAATATTTCACAATATATAATTACATATTGCTTTTGTGATTCATCACTATGCTTTAGGTTCAATTTGTAACAATGAAAATACATCCTGATTATCAGATATTTACATGACGAGTCATCACAGTAGCAAAATGACAGTGATGAAGTAGCAACGAAAATAATTTTATGGTTGGTGGGGTCACCACACCATGAGGAACTGTATTAAAGGGTCACGGCATTAGGAAGGTTGAGAACCACTGCTTCAGAGGTAGGCCAAATTAGACAATAGTCAATGTGCTTGATATATGAGAAGCAGTTAAGTAACTTCTCTTCTCAGAACATATTATGCTCATTTTGAAAACCCATTTTTACTTCTGCTGAACTTACAGAAATTGTTCTGAAAATACATTTAGCTCAAAAAAAAAACCCTTTTACTGGGGGCGCTTACATCTGTTATCACAATCCATACATTCATCCAGTGTGTCAAGCACATTTGCACATATGCCGCCATCACCATTTTCAAATCATTCTCTTCCCACTCGAAGCATCTTTTGATATTTTGTCTGCTGTTTCCAGAAGCATTCATTGGGAATCCAAGCAAGACAACATCCTTGACAACTTCACTGTTTCACTGTTTGTCATGATCAACTTTCGAGGATTTTGATCTTTCCATTGACCTGTAATCCACACTGAAGACTTCAATATTTGATCTTCATCAGAAAGTGCTTCAAGTCCTCCTCACTTTCAGCAAGCAAGGATGTATCATCTGCGTATCTCAGGTTGTTAAGCTTCCTCCAATACTGAGGCCACATTTTTCTTCACATTAGCCAACTTCTCTGATGATTTGCTCAGCATAAAGGTTGAATAAGTACAAGGAGAAGATGCAAACCTGTGGCATACCTCTCTTCATATTAAACCATGCAGTAAGTAGTCCCGTGTTCCATTCACACAACGGCCTCTTGATCCAAATTCCTCATGGACACAACGAAGTGTTCTGGAATTCCCATCCTTCTCAAGGTTATCCATAGTTCATTATGATCCACACAGTCCAATGCCTTGGCGCAGTCAATACAACACAAGTCAACATCTTTCTGGCATTCTCTGCTTTCAGTCAAGACCCACCAGACATCAGTGATGTTATCGCTTATTTATTGTTGTCATTGGAATTCCACTTGAACTTTGGGTAGCTCCCTGTCAATGTACTGCGGCAACCATTGTTGGATGTTCTTCTACACAAGTTTACTTTCATGTGATCCCAATGCTTTTGTTCTAGAATTGGAGCATGCTGTCAAATCACCTTTCTTTTGAGTGGGTACAAATATGGATCTCTTCCAGGCAACCGGCCAAATAGCTTCTCCAGGGAATACACACTTATTCGTGGGCATTTATTAGCGTGACAAGTCTAACTTTTGGTTTATATCATCACAGAACCCTGTAAGAATTATATATATATATATTAGGTAGATTGTTTCTTAAAGCCTGTCGTATCAACGGTCTCAAGGCAGCACCCATGATTTGCCCTTGACTACTAACTCAGCATGGAGTCTTGGTGTCTAAGTGGTTACATTTAGAGATGCTAACTGCAAGGTCAGTTTTTCAAAACCACCGATCCCTTTGCTTGTTAAGGCAAAGCTTGCACTGGCATCAAGGGTTCCAGTGTTCGAAACCCATGAATCAGTTCTACCCTATCCTATAGGGGCCCTATGAGTAAGAATGGAGTTGATGGCAATGAGTGAGACTAGATTGAAGGTTGATCGTTTGAACACAACCAACAGAAACAGAAGCAAAGCCTGGTGACCTGCTTCCATATAGATTATAGTCCAGAAACTCACGTGGAGCAGTCTCATTATGTGACTTACTCATGAGAAGTCTCACTATGTGACTTCCTCGTGAGAAGTCTCACTATGTGACTTCCTCGTGAGAAGTCTCACTATGTGACTTCCTCGTGAGAAGTCTCACTATGTGGCTTCCTCGTGAGAAGTCTCACTATGTGGCTTCCTCGTGAGAAGTCTCACTATGTGGCTTACTCGTGAGAAGTCTCACTATGAGACTTACTCAGAAGTCTCACTGTGTGACTACTCATGGGATCGCCATACATTGGAATCAAGTCAAAGAAAAAGGACTTCCTTCTTGTTTTCTTTCATAAACATGGTGCTTCTATGGTGTTTCTCATAATGCTTCTCTGGTGAGAAACCCTCGGTTGTAAACTTCTCTCATTCTTCTATTGATAGTGCTGCCCTTGGACTTGGTTGACTCAGCAGGACCCTGCAGGTGGAAACAGTTTGCCATCAGTAACTAGCCTAAAGTTGACCGCCTCCGCTGAACAAATGCCCTGAGAATTGATTGCACAACAAGAAAACCTCCACAGAGCAGTTTTCCTCTGCGAGGAGACAGGTTTCCATGAGTCGGGAAAGCGGTTGATGATAATCGTCAACACTAGCTTCACCAGCCAATATAGATGTACTATCTTTCCCTAGGAAACCTACTTGTTCTGGGTGTCTTAGTGAAGTTGTGTCGCATTAGAAATGATGGAAATGTTTTTCAGCCTCTCAGTGTCCTGCTCTGGGCTCATCATCACAGGTTGGAATTCCTAGCCTACTCGGTGTACCTCATTCCTGTAACACTGAAGGATATTATAATGGTGCTAAAGGGAATGAGGATAACCAAAATATTCTGATAGACCGTCTCAAACGAGCAGAGAATCCAGTGAGACACACAAGTTATTCGGCCAGGCCCTCCTGGCCCCGACGTCAGCCTCCCCTGGTCCTTTCAGCAGAGCCCACCAGCCTCCATGGGACATGGAAAAGGAAGAAGCTCCAAAACACTCCCATGGTCCCTTTGGAGAAGCTCACCAGAAACTAGAGTTTCCAGGAATTAAAAAGGGCAAACTTTTCTTAACTCCCCAATGAGGAGCTGTCAAGGCTGCTCCAGGTAAGATGATCATTGCGGTTCTGTGGGGAGATGAGGTCACACAATCTCTACCCATATCTCAGGGCCTGCCTGCTGCTCCTTCACACCTGTGTTGGATGTTGCTGCCCTCACTGAGGCCGCCGTCCTAGCCAGGTGGGTGCAATCCAGGTGAGTGCTTTCTAGGCCAGCCTGAAAGGCTAAAAGGGAGGGATGGGAGTTGGTTGAGTGATAATATCTGAAAAACTAGATCCATCTGGAATAGCTACTGGTCCATTGTTAGTGTTTTCCTGGGAGGATAAGTCGTCCTGAGATGTAAGTTGAGCTTTAAGAAGGAGACTGGAAGTTTCATATACCACACAAATGCCTGCCTGCTCCTGAGGTAATTTAGTGGCTCTTGGTGTGGCATCCAACTGGTATTAAAATCCAAATTTTATGGTGCCTCAATGTTGTAATTTTATCATTATTCTGTCATTCAGGACTTTTTTTTCATCATAGCATTTTAGAGAGCAAGGAAAAAGTCAGGACTTCAGACCACCAATTTGAAGCACAAGTGTTTCCGGTGGTATTTTCTATAGCTGGAAAACAACCCGATGCTATTTCCCAGCTCATTCTTCGTTTCCCTCTGATTTCAATATATCCAGCATAGAACATTTTACTCCTCCAAATTTAAGGTTGATTTTTTTTTTATCTTATGGTTTAAAATCTATTGAAAATCAAAACAATGGTCATAATTTAACTTAACTTTTTTTAAAAGAACAAACATGATTATAGAATATCTGAAAACAAGTAACTTAGTTTCTAATGTCAAAAATATTACATGCCTATGTTGTATGTCCTACAATTTGTACCACAGCTTAGTTTTGCACAGTGATTTCTGTAATAGATGCCATTTTACTTTAATTGATGATGTATAAAAATTGAACAATTCTGTTACAATATGGATATTCCTTGATTAAATCCAGTTATGTCAAGGAAGATTGTTCATGGTATCTATATTGTAGCAACAACTCTAAACCTTGAACCATAAAGTAATACTGGTCTACAGAGTCAAACTTAGACTTATGGGAAATCATCACAACTAAACTTATGAACTCTATTTAAGATAAAAGAGACATTTGGTATATTTGATGAAAAAAAGTGGGATTTATGGTAGAATAGCATTTTATACATTCACAGAGACCCAGGGATGTGTCCATTGGTAGCACCGGCCTGTTGACTGTGTTCTGGCAATAAGCATCAACATCACTATAACCAGGTTATCCAGGTTCCAATCATGACTCTACCTTTTCTAGATGAGTATCTTAAGCTCTCTACAGATAAATTCTCATAAAATTACCCCCTAATGCATACAGTCATGTTTATGAAATCATTAGAATAGGTAAAGTTTGATTTTGATTGATACTGATATGATAATTCATAGCAATAATCAGATACTTTGTGTTACAGCAATATACAGAAGTACTTGGATTGTTCTTAAAAGAAAAAAATATATTGAAATTAATTTTCATCATGAGATCCTATTAAGTGGAATCCTTTGAATTATAGTTTCCATAAAGAATGCAGTGTACAGCTCTGGTTTCTGTGCAGAATCTCATGCTCGTGAATTTGAATCAAAGCCCTGGAAGATAACAACATGGATTTGAAAATACCAATAATCTACATGTTTGAGATAGTCGTAGGAATCTTGGGCAATCTCATACTCATCGTTCATTACTTCTGCCTATACATCCATGGATGCAGGTCACGGTCAACAGACTTGATTCTCAGAAACCTCACTGTAGCCAATTCCTTGGTGATTCTCTCTAATGGAGTCCCCAAGACAATGGCAGCTTTGGGGGTGAAAGATTTCCTCAATGATTTTGGATGCAAGCTTGTTTTATACATTCACAGAGTGGCCAGGGGGGTGTCCATTGGCAGCACCTGCCTGTTGAGTGTCTCCCAGGCCATCACCATCAGCCCCAGGAACTCCAGGTGGGCACATGTTAAGCAAAAAGCCCTCAAGCACATTGGTCTCTCCAGTATCCACTGCTGGGTACTGCACCTGCTGGTCAGTGCCGTTTTCCCTATTTATACGTCTGTGAAAAGGAGCAACAAAATCACCATGAAAAGAAATGATTTGGGATACTGTTCTTTTCCAAACAATGACAACACTACATTAGCGCTCTTTGTATCATTGGTGTCTTGCCATGATGTTGTGTGTTTGGGACTCATGGCCTGGGCCAGCTGCTCCATGGTTTCCATCCTGTACAGGCATCAGCAGCAGGTCCGGCACATTTACACGAACAACTTCTCACCCAGATCCTCCGCTGAGAGGAGAGCTTCCCAAAACATCATTTTCCTGGTGAGCACTTTTGTATCTTTCTATGTCCTCTCCTCTGTTATTGGCACCTATTTGTCTCTGTTTGATCATCCCAGTCAGTGGCTGGTGAACATGTATGCTTTATTAACTGCGTGTTTCCCAACAGCCAGCCCTTTTATTCTCATGAAAAGTGACACCCGTGTATTGAGTTTATGCTATGTTTGTTCTAAAAGGAATGCATAATTTCCATCTCTTCTCAGAAAAAAATGTGATTTATATATTATATACTATAATATTCTAGATGGAATCTTCCTTCACAGAATCTACATAATGATTACAGGCCAGTCTCAATGCAGAGAAAATTAGGAGCTACGCAGACTGGGCTTCTACCCCACTGGTAAATAGTCAGCAGTCCTCTCACTGCTACTGAGTTGATTCCATCTCATAGCAACCCTGTAGGACAGGGTAGAACTGCCCTGTGGGCTTCTGAGACTGTAACATGGGGAGTTTTATAAACTGTTGAATGTCCTGTGACATAGACCTTTGTGGGATTGGTATCTTGAATAGCAGGATAGCCCTGTTTCTTCATACTGTAGTGCAAGTGACCTAGAGCACGATAGAGTAGAAAACTCCATCTTTCTTCCAAATAATTATAGTAGGAGTAAAGCAAAACTGGTGTCACTGGGTCAGTACTGATAGACTTGTATTTCTTAGTGGTTCCAATGGAGAAGTTCCTAGTCCGTTTAGTTCCAAAATACGTCTTAGTGGTTGTCAACTCAGGTCCATGTCCTGGCAACGTTGTCAAACAACATAATGAAAGTTGGCAGTTACTTCATTGTCCTCAGCATTGTTAGTGTGCTGGAGAACATTGTTGTAGGCCTGAAGTCACTTACCTCCAGAAGAATCTCTCTCGTTTGGGATGACTCTTTACTAAGCTCAACGTCTCTTAACAGTTATCGGGCTCTGCTGATGATACGCCGAATGTTAAGACTAAATCTCACCATCGTTGATTCTCAGGCATATTCTGGCTAGTCTTCCTGCAACCAGATGAAATGATGTGAAATTTGTAGAATTGTCTTGCAGCGTGTAATTTTAATCTGAGGTGTAAAAATTTTCACACCACAAGTATATATGAGGAATTATGGGGAGTTTTATAAACTGTTGAATGTCCTGTGACATAGACCTTTGTGGGATTAGTATCTTGAAGAGCGAGATGAGCCCTACAGGACCAGTGGTGTGAGTGGCGAGACGGGGAGGGTAGAGGGAGAGTGGGTAGGAAAGAGGGAACCGATTACAAGGAACTATATGTGACCTCCTC